ATGGACTGCTACGGGGATGGAGTCGAGCGCAACACTACAGAGTCATGCATCATCACTGCTTGTCCAGGTAGATACGTGACTGCTGTTACACTAATATAGATTTCCCTCGGGCTGTTACACGGGGGCGGTGGAACCACTCCGGTTGGTCTGGCCATGGCGGACCAACTCTTTGACCGTCAGTGGTTGCTAACTGGTGAGGGGGTCATGTATGCCCACCATACCATGCACAAGGTATGAACGGCTATGGCATGGCCGGAGCTATCAAAAACTGCTTCTGCCGATCCTGTAATACAGTGGTCTTTGCTGCAGAGTAGAGCGGAGGAGCGTTCATCACAAGTTGACAATGGAGTGATGGTCCGTAGCACAAGGGTTGACTTGGTGTTGTGAGGCAGAAACAGTGGAATCTTCTTTGTACAAGTACATGTACATGTTACCAAGAGTATTCAAGTTCCCGAGAGTTTACTGTTCTGGATACCTCTTGTTATGGGGTCGGTCCGCCGGCAGAGCAAATTCACATCACGTGGTTTAGTGTTTCATCATCTCTCCAAGTTGAAAATGTGTACGAGAGCTAGAAATATTAACAAAAGGGATACGTCGTGTTCTTTGGTTTGATTTCTACACCCAGGGGCGTCACAGCCGGTGCGGCGGGTGTGGCCAAAACCGTACCAATAATTTTATCCCGTGATTTTTGGAGCAATGGAATATGGGCTATTTGGGCCAAGTTTCCCTTAAGTGTTCCCAGGGGACGGCCCCGGGGCCTCCGCATTTTCATGGTAGCACCGATATGGAATACCTTCCGGGGCTCGTTCACTCTCCTGTTCTTCATTTCACTCTTCTTTTCTCTATCATGTTGCAGATTTCAATGTAAGTCTCACTGCTCCAGACCTGGTGCCGAATGCTGATGGGGACTTCAGCACATTCTTCTCTTCCAACATCGGCCTGCCGAGTATCTCTGCCGGCTCTCTGCCGACCTGTACCTCAGTCGGCGCGGACACACTGGAACTGGTGAACGTCGATCTCAGTCGCACCGTCAACCAAATCCACGGCAGCAGCAACAGCAACGGCCTGGTGCGCTCTCTGAGTTTCGCTAGCAATGCCACGTCACTGGCTATGCTCGGGCCTGGGCGCTACGTGTGTCGCGCCAAGGTCGGCCAGTATGCCTACTTGCAGGCAAATGCCAGTTATTACCTTAACGTCGAGGGTGAGTTGTGCATGCGCAAGGCTAAGTTACTGATGCGCATGGCAAAGTTATGGATTCACAGGTTTAAGGACCGGATTCACATGGCTAAGTTACGGATGCGCAGGGCAAAATTTGGATGCACATCGCTGGGTTATGGATGCACGCGGCCTCGATTGGGTCCTGCTGCGCTGCACTGCATTCTATGGGAAGTGTTTTACCCAGGAGACACGTCTCCATGGCAACAGAAAGCACCTTTATCTTCTGCATGGAGTTGCAGTCTCTCCTGTCTCGTGATGTAGTTGATCTTCGCTCTGTATCTTCCGCTCTCCGTTTCTTCAATGACGATGTTGTGCCAGTGAGTTCAACAATAGTTTGCTAGTGAGACAAACCTGAGCTTGGACGAAGTGAGAAACTGTTGGGTTTCCAAAGCCGGAGCAGTTTTAAAGCAGGCTGTGACTCGGACGGTCCTCCATGACCTCCACGACGTTTTAAAGAAAACGATTGCACTGATATCTGTGTAAGCTGACCGCTCAGGGGACTCCCGAAGCCGGTCCCGTGTACAGGTGATCGCCTTGTCCAGGGTCACCTGGGTGTAAATGACATCCCTCTGTACTGTTTTTTCTCTAGAACAAGTGGTTGTGTGCTGTTCCTGAGTACCACCCCCCCCCCCCCCCCCCCCCCTCACAACACACACACACACACACACACACACACCTCCGTGGCAAGTTCTATTTTGCTTCCTTGATGAGAGATACTGCTCTACAAGGATACCCCAGCATTCCACACTCCACAAGGTACTCAGCCAGGATATCCCAGGAGTGCACATTGATCATCACATTAACAGCACAGGCTTTTGTTTCTTCTTCTCATGGTCATTTCTTAATTTTCTTTTCACAATGATCACAGCTTACGGGCAAAGGTGAAAAAATTGCATAGTGGGAGTATAGCGATGGTGAGGCTTTATGCGCTCGGCCGACCTGATATCTCGGCATCATGGGGTCATAAAACGCAGCAGAATTCATTCACTGATGTGTAAAGAACCGAAACCAAAGACATAATAGGGACAGACCAACTTGGGTGATTAGAAGTTATATATCCAGTCGAATGCCTTGTCCTGCCTGCTTGAATTGCCTGTGTATGAATGGTTTGAATGCTTTCTCACATGTCTACTCTCCAGTACCGTACAGTCTCAACTTGACCGTGAGAGCAGAAACGTCGTCTGTGAATCAAAGCACGTCGATCGTTGCAACATGCTGTGCGGTGGCCAGCCCAGGGATCTCGATTCAGTTTGGCATGGAGACCAGCGCCGGCATAAGTTACACACCGTGGGGCATCGCGAGGACGGACGAATCGCCCGGTTTGACCCATACATGTAGCACCCTGAAGGCCATTGTTACATTGCCATGTTCTACACACACCGTCAACTGTAACGCTAGCTACAGTCAACTCATTGCAAACTGTTCTCAGCCGTTGGTTGGCGTGGTAGGTGCCTCAATGCACTGTTCAGGAAGTGAGACGCAGCGGGTGGAAACAAGTGACTTCTGCAGTGAGTGTGTCATTCATGCCTACTCTTGAGTAGTGATGTGCTTGTGCATGTGTGCGTGCGTGCATGCGTGCGTTCGTGCGTGCGTGCATGCGTGCGTGCGTGCACGTGTGTGTGTGTATGTGTGTGTGTGTGTGTGTGTGTGTGTGTGTGTGTGTGAGAGAGAGGTGTGTGGTGTGTGTGTATGCGTGTGTGTTTATGGGAGAGAGCGAGTGAGATTTTTCTTTTTTATTTGCCGTCTGCACTTCATGGTACATAATGAAAATAGCCAATACAAGGAAGTGAGGGTGAAACTAACCACGACAGAGAGACAGAGAGAGAGAGAGAGAGAGAGAGAGAGAGAGAGAGAGAGAGAGAGACAGAGAGAGAGAGAGAGAGAGAGAGAGAGAGAGAGAGAGAGAGAGAGAGAGAGAGAGAGAGAGAGAGTGAGAGAGAGAGAGCTGAGAGAGAGAGAGAGCTGAGAGAGATAGATAGATAGATAAAGAGAGAGAGAGGGAGAGATAGATAGAGAGAAAGAGAGGAAGAGAGAGAGAGAGATAGGAAGAGAGAGAGAGGATGAGAGAGAGAGAGAGGTGAGAGAGAGAATGATGCTGAAAAGATGGGTAGTACGAGAGGCAGCAAGAGACCAGGGGCTCAAAACTCAAGCTAGTACGCAATTCATGGTGAATTATTTTTTATGTGTATCTATTTTTACTAGTATCACAGCCCTACTTGAAAACAGGTGGAGAACAAAAAGAAACGAGGAAAATGACAAAACATCGGGTGTGTACATGTATAGCTTACGTAGGAATCATCGAATAGCAATGGCCCATAGAAACAGATTGTTTGATTGCAGCATGCCATTCTTTGTTTGTTTGTGTTGTTTTGGACTGTACATAGTTGGCAGTCCGTCCACTACACCTGTGTCCGCTGTCACAGCCGTTCAGCAGACATCGCTCTCGACAGTCAGCTTGGCAGAGGGTTGCAGGGCAGTACTGGTCTGTCCCATGCCCAGCACCTCCTTGCCAAACACCAACCAGAGCGCTAATCAGATACTGGATGTATCTTATCCGGTAAATTGTAACACGCATATCCAGTATGCTGTTGTATGGTGGAAGAGGGGAAGTGTATGGTAGTGGTGGTGGTGGGGGAGGGGGTAGTTGGGGGCTGGGAAATGTCGCTTGCGATCAGAGAATTCATAGTTTCACGAAAATGGTAATGTGAGGATAAAACGAGGAAAAGACGGATGTGCATGTGCGCTCACTTGCTGACGGGGAGGCACAGTGTTGATATAATACCAAAGGGATTTGCGGACAATTAGAAAAGGGATTAACTTAATTTAAAAAGAGGGGGGGGGGGAGAGTCCCCTGACGGCCAGATACATCGGGTTCAGCATGTGACTATCCAAGCAACACTCTCCAATAGGAGCAGGTCTTGAGCTCATTGACATGCCGTATCGGTGGTCTTCTGCTACACAGATAGTTAGGGTGTCTGCCTTGTCTTCTTGATCTTTGTTACCAACATCTCACCCCGATCGTTGTCAAAGGTTACAGTCTCATATGGGTAGGTGTGACAAATGTGCGACACAAGGTCCAAGGCAACACTTTCGGCCGTATCCAACCCGACACTCTCCTCGTTGGGACTGCAAGGTCGTTCCCATGCGGTCCTGGTGGCTTTATCGGCATGCTGCACAGTGTCCAAGGCAACACATGCTTCAGAAGCACTTTTAGCTCATTGACACGCGATATTGCCTTCTCTACATCTGGAGATGATTCACCCCCATTGTCACGGTGTGTTTTGTAATTGCTTCATATAGCAAACTAGTGTTTTCTCATTTGGGTTGGTGAAACATTTACACTGGTGATTGTGCCCATCCTCAATCTCTTTCACGACTGTTGAGTGCTCACGTATCTCTGACACTCTTCTATTCTTTTTCTTAGCCTTCGTCCTGTCTCTTTAACATATTCCGCTCCGCAGGTGTGACTCAGAGTGAATACGCGACACCATGTAACTCCATGCGTGGTGGGGCTGGAGTGGCGGGGATGGAGTGGTGGGATGGAGGTTTCTTCCGAGTGGGTAGGCCTTTAAGAGTGACAGAACAGCGGCGCACTATGCGAAAAGATGTGTTCCTTGAAGGGTGTTCTCGTGCAGAACAATCATAGGCATTTGGTGGTTCCTGCAACAGTGGTGGCCTGTTACTTCAGTGATACCTATAGCTCTGGGAGCATTGTTGTCTGGCTTTAGTCTCTTCGCATTGTCGTCCTTTTCCGCATGGAACGAAGTGGCGCTAGCCTCGAGCGACCCGTGGTCCCATTGGGCCATTGGTGTTACAAGCAGTGGACATGCTAAGCCGATGTGAAGTGCTTCCAGGTAGAGCTGAGTGTGTATGGGGTCATTGTGCTTCACACACATCCATACATACATTCATTGCACTCAACTTTGGCTCAAACAAAGCAAGCCCCCCCCCCCCCCATTGCCTTTGGTTCTGACAGCACATGCAAACAGGAGGTGTAGGTAGAAATTCTTTGGGATTGGTTCCATGATGAATCTTCTTGTCAAGTGCCATGGCTCTGCCTCATCATGAGACTGCGGAATCTCAGCCATGACGACAAGGTCTTCAAATCTCCAGTCTTCGCTTCGGAGGTGATTGTTGCATCAACAGCATGGCATGATCGCTTCCTTAGATCTGTACAACGTGTGTTCCCGGGAATGCCTGTTTGTCACGAATAATGGAAACATTTTGTCTCTTCCCTGTCAGGCCCCACCAGCAGATCCGAAAAGGGGGGCTTATGTGGTTTTGCGCATGGTGAGAAAAATGCATTTGAAAGTTGAGTTTTCCTTAGAGAAAGATGCAAATACACATATTTAAACACCCATAGCTCTGTGATAGATGAAGAATTTTGACTTAGGCATTTTGCACAGTGATCTGATGCAGCACATCAATGCACGTCGGAAAGAAAGGCAAATGGACACATGCTTAAACCCCTGTCCAACTGGGATCTGATTAAGTTATTCTTCCATTGAGATTGGTCTGCAAATAAGTCGGAAGCTGCCCAGGAAATCGCCTGACCTGCACACACTATACTGGTGCCAGTGGGCTAGTTAGGTGTAAATTTGTGCCGAAAAGAACAGTATGATCAAGATAGTGAAGTTGACTCTTGGCATGACTTTAACCATGTACTGTGGTGGCAACTGAAATACGACCCCTGATTTTCGTGCTCGAGTGTAGCATCGATTCTAGCAGTCTCTATTTTCGTAGTGTTACAAACGCGTGCTGGGTCTTTGCAATGCGAGCGCACCGAGTCGGGGTCGGATTCTAGTTTCCACCGTCAGTGTAGATGCACCAAGGAATAGCACTGGCGTGGTAGTGCTACCTGCCGCATGACTGATTCCCGTTCTCGTTTCCGCGGTTTTGCGACCATTCTGGTACTTGTGCAGACGTACGGAGACTGGTATGGGCCTGGCAATCGGTCTCGCCTGGCGTCGAACACCTCCTATCTTGTACTGGACTGCGTGGACCAGTCACACGCCGGTATTTACTGGTGTAACGTCACCAGTGACCAGGGACAGTATCTTGAGGCAAGTTTTCAGCTCAACGTGACAAGCACAGGTAAGTTACTGTATCTCCCCGGATATAAGTCGCATCTTTTTACCCTAAAATTCAAAGGTAAAAACGAGGGTGCGACTTACTATCGAGCATGCCTTACTATGTACTGACGTAAATGTATCCAAACTGGCTCAAACCTGAAAACGGGGGTGCGACTTACAATCAAGTGTGCCTTATAATCGGGGAAATACGGTAGCTGCTTTTTAAGTCTCTGTTTTTTTTAACCCAATGAGACACTCAGAGTGCAAGAGCAACTGTGAATAGAACATGGTTGCTGCTTTTCTGTACGCATCTCGTCTCATATTTGGCGCCTGCAACCAGCTCCAATGCCCCTGTGGATACGACTGTGCACAGTTCATGAGCATTTACACTGGGCTGTACAGCCGGAGCCGCCACATTTTGACTGGTCCGGTGGGACGTTTTACCGAAAAAAGCATTAAAAATGGATATGACCGAATCAAGATGCAGCTGTATACCTATAAATTCCCTGACTCTTGCGCTATGATGCCCCTCAGAATTTCCCACCTTGCTCCCCCTTATGGTCAGGCTGCCCGTTTTGGAGCCATCAGTTGCCTGATGATCTAAGTAATACGTGAAACTCCAGAGTTGTGACAAAGCTTCCAATCTCTCTTGTGTACCTATAAATTACGTATAAGAAGTCTCAAAATGTGGAGAAAGTACTTTTTTCTCATGTCATTCTTCTCCATAAGCTCATTGCAGATGACCCTTTCAGTGGTCATTTGGTCGACTGTGCCGTTTGCCTAACATGACCAATATGAATACATGTATGTGGTACACCCAGAGAACCTGCCACATACGTGTTCAACGCCTAAACGATGATGACTGCTTTCAGCCGTCTCCTTTCTTTCCTGCGTGCTCAGGTGTGTTCTTCGGGTACATTGTAGTACCGATCTTGGCCATCATACTTCTCGTCATCATACTCGTCATTATCATCTATGTTCTGAAACGTCGACGTCTCGACAGGTTTGTACTGTTGCGGGCTATGCCAGGGCATGCTTGTGTACTGTGGGCTCTGCCAGGGCATGCTCGTGTACTGTGGGCTCTGCCAGGGCATGCTCGTGTACTGTGGGCTCTGCCAGGGCATGCTCGTGTACTGTGGGCTCTGCCAGGGCATAGTCGGGTACTGTGGGCTATGCCAGGGTATGGTTGTGTATTGTGGGCTCTGCCAGGGCATGCGTGTATATTGAGGACCTGGCCAGGGTATGGTTGTGTATTGTGGGCTCTGCCAGGGCATGTGTGTGTATTGAGGACTTGGCCAGGGCATGTGTGTGTATTGAGGACCTGGCCAGGGCATGATTGGGTATTGTGGGCTCTGCCAGGGCATAGTCGGGTATTGTGGGCGATGCCAGGGCACATTTGTGTGATGCATACATGTCTGCCACGGCGTATTGAAGACGACCATGATCACCCGTCCGCAGGTTCCATCACATTGCTTCTACGAGTATCTGGATAAAGTCGTATAGTTATTTTGAATTTGAGTGCACTCATTGTGCACTATGCGCATTTCTGGGATAAGTTATAACTCGATCTCGAAATGCTGAGTTGAAATTCATCAACTTTGGCAGAATATGCGAGCACCGGTGTGCTTTCTGAGTATTTGTTATAAATAGGATACTTGTAGACTGTCCTATTTCAGTCATCTTTGTATCTTCTCCTATATCCCTGATGATGCCCTGCTGGGTGAAAATTCGCGGAAACAACCGCTGTACGTGGTGTAGGAAAGGACTGTTCGTGTATTGCGGATTGGAAGCGAAGTGAACAATACTTGATGACGACAGGGGCGTAGCTGATCCCCCTCTTAGGGGAATGCACGGCGGCTTCACTGACGTAATGTATCATCATGATCTGCATCATACGTGTAGCCTAGGATAGCTGGTGCATGTCATCATGGTCATTACATGCTGAACCTAGACCCAGGCCGACCCTTTTAGGGGGGGGGGGGGCACGTGCCCCATCCCCCTTTTAGGGGGGGGGGGGTGCACGTGCCCCCTCCCCGTGCCCCATGCCCCATGCGTGCCTGGTAACCGTGTTGAATGTTTTCCCTTGTGCAGGATGTTCTATATGAAGCGACTACGCTTCAGGAGCCGAATGGGCTCGAGCTCGGCCACCTTTCCAAAGCCTGGTGACGGTGGTGACCGGCCAGCTCCCCCCGGCGTGGCTCAGCGGCCCCCCGCCAAGTCGCTGGCCCACGGCACATCGTCCGTTGACTACGATGACATGGACTACGTCATAGCCAACGACTGCATTGACGCCACCACGCTAGCCGTCATGGGCATGATGCCGATGGGCCGGATCGGTACTGCTAGTGCTGCCGTGGGTGATCCACAGGCCACGCAAGCTGACTACCTGGACGTTCTACCGCAGCTGGAGGAGGGTGCCTGTCGAGCCGAACTTTTGTCCGCCGTAGGCGAGGAGCATGCGGCCGCCGTGGCCGATACGGATGCGACAGCGACAGCGGTGGAGCAAGACGAGACGTTGGATATCTCCGAGCTGGAAAGTCGTTCAAGACCTGCTGCTCGGCGGCCCGCTGCCGGTACGCCGCGGGGCCTTGAGTCTGGAGCGGCGCAACTGCCTGATGGTGATGCGGCGGCGGGGGCGGCGACAGCGGCGGTGCAGAGGCAGAATTCAGCAGCAGAATCGGCCGCACCTTCTCACCGTGCAGAACACGATGCCGCACGTGCTGAGGGTGCAGCGCATGAAGCACAGGACGTCGCCGAGGACGACGATGACATTTACGACGTTCCTACATCTTCTGACGAAGACGATGGCGTTGCCAAGGTGATATATGAATTTGTCTGAAGTAACGGCACTGACCTTTGTCACTGTGACGAGAAGGTGCTGTTTCGTGGAAAACACCTCCAGTCTAGTCAGATACTGTACTGTTTCCACGGGCGTCGAATTGGACATGGGATGTTTTTTGCTCACTCATCAGTTTAGAGATTAGCAAAGCGGCGCATGCGATCAGAACATTCTCCGCTCATGTGCATGCACAAAGTATCCGGTGATGTGAAAAAGACTTGCGGAGCAGGATTTCATCACGGGCATGTATTGTGTGCGTTCTTGATCGCGGGAATGTGTGTCGGCTTCTCTCAATGTCAGACTCAGTCTGATTTCCCGGAGGTAAGTGTACGTTTACAGGTTCTTGGGGGTATTTCGCAGCAAGAGCTCGCTTCACAGGAGCGTACTGTTGGCTCCATGGACTTTGTTGTCATCACGACGTGGTAGTATTCCAGCACAATTCCGTCAGCACCGAAATTGATGAGCTCTCTTTTCGTCTCGGTTTGTAGCCGCTCCTTCTGGATTATGAGTATGGTTTCCTGTACAGCAAATCCTGGGAAATACAAGACCCGTCGTTAAAGACCTCTCCCAATGTCTATTCTTACTAGGACCATTGACAGTGTTTCAAAGATCCTCATCTAATTCTTCTTTTCTCTGCATACCTTAATCACAGTATGCACAGCGATAAGATCTTGGGTCTCTCCAGTTCATTGATTTCTCCAGTGAAGTCAAATGCTATTTCCTCCTCGACTCTCCTGCAAGAAGTTTTCGTCCTCTTGATCTCATCCACTGCTTCAATCCTTTTCTTCTCATTCCGTGAATCACTGATTCGCAATTATTCTAGTGTTGACAAGGTGTTGGAACTAACAACGACGCATTCAATTTTATGTTATTTCACTTTGCACTTGTCGTGGACAGAGAAATCCGACCTTATGAGCATAATAGCGCCGGGGGGGGGGGGGGGGGGCGAGGGGGTAGGCATAATAATGCCGGGAGAAAAATTTCCAGAATTGGGTACTTTTTCTGGTAAGTTTCATGCATGTTTGGTATGTAGATACAAAAATGGAGCAGAATTCGATGAATTGCCCGCCATAAGGTTTGTATGGTTCTGCCAATTTCACTGCTTTTCGAGCAGAATCTGCAACCTTTTCAAGCATTATCCGCCAAAGCCTGGGGGGGGGGGGGGGGGGGCTACGCGGGCCTAGCACCGCACAACCATCCATCTGCGGCACGTGAGCTACGCGGGCCTAGCAACGCACAACCATCCATCTGCGGCACGTGAGCGGTGGAGCATCATTATTCATGTGCATGTAGTCTGATATCTCTGGTCAGATCTGTACGTATCTTATCCTTCTTATGAAGGGGAGAATCGACACAAACGGAGGATGCACGAGCCAGCTTGGACAAGCTAAGGCCCCTGGTTCGAGTCCGGGTGGTGACTGTCATTGTTTCCCCTTTTCCATTCCCTCGACCGGTGACCGGTGTCAACTCCGCACTACCGTAGTAGGCTAGTAGTACATGTACTACGGAAGAAAGAGTGTTGAACAGTTGCTGCTCAACATTACAATCATTATTATGCTGTTTTGTTTTTTGCGTGTTTTTGCGTGTTTTTTCTTTCTTTCTCGAACGTTGAGTTGAATTTTTTGGAACACTTGGGAAAAATATTCAATAGACACCCTTAGCAAAAAACGTTATGTTGTAACGGTATTATCGTAAGCGGGAAAATACCGTGATTTGGGTTCGACCTTTAGCAAGATGCACGCTATTTTTAGTACGCTGTTGCCACGAGAGTAGCTTCGATTTCGCGCGGTACAACCATTTTTGTCACCATATACGCGATGCAAGGTGAAATGCGTACGGACTATGCAATATTTGGCCAAAACACGTACCGTTGGTCACAACGATAAATCAGCCCCCATAACGTTTATACGCTGCAGCTTCAACGCTATTTGGGTGATCAAGGTACGAGTACCGTAAAAAAATAGCGTTACCGTTGTTTGCTAAGGGTGTCTATTGTGTTTATTTTGCCCGTAAAAAAAGGCTGTATAAACAGTTGCTGCTTGGATGACAGCTGCATGTACATGTACATCATGGCTCATACCTTAGCGCATGGGTGGCCTATACTATAGGCCCCGGCGGATAATGCTAGCACTATATCTAGCGTATTTAGCACTTTTCTGGAAATTTACTGAGTAATAATAAAAGATTCTCTGCTTCTTGCATTGTTTTCTGTGTCGTAGAACATGGCTTATAATGCAAAATACATGTACCAGTGATTCAATCAAAAAGAGAAAGAATGACGAGCAAATAGGGTGCGCTTTAAACTACACACAGATACTGGAGTGGTGACAAAGAAAGGTGCGAAGTATTTATGTATGTATTAATTATTATTAATTTTTACTTCGCAAAGTCAAACGGAATCGTTGCCCAATAAGATGATAGCGAAGGATGGGGGGGGGGGGGGGGGACATTACATAATAATTATCTGTCGTAATCAAATGTGTCGGTACTCAGTAGGGAGGGATAAAAGAGCAGGTGTGGCATTGAAGCCGAGACCTTTGGTCGGTGGAGCCCCTGGTACCTCACCATCACTGCTGCCCAGTGCAGCCCCTGCTCAGTAGCTGTTTGTTTTTGTCCACATAATTATTTATTTTACGAGTTGGGTTTGTGAATAATAGTAAAAAAAAGAAAAAGAAAAAAAGAAGAACAGCAGAAGGCTAAAAGTAGGAAAGGTGTATCACCGTTGCGTAAATATGTACTCTAATCGGGTAAGGACATACGATGAAAGCACTAGTGGTAACAGTTATCACAGTATGGGTAGCGAGACACTACTACTAGTAGTATCACGAAAAGTACTGTCGTCGACATGGAAATCCGGTCGTACGTCTAGCAACCCCAGGGCGGCGCTGAGGGCGCTGGCCATGCACTGCAGCCGTGGGTGAGCAGTACACAGTAGAAAAAGTACTCAATCTGCGGACAGCATGAAAAAGTAGGTATTTTTCGTATCTATGTTTGCAGTGTGATCATAACGATCGCGCGGGACGAGTCTACAGAACTTAGTGGTGTCATTGAGTATGACCATCATCTTCGCTCTATACTCCTCTGCCGACATGATTACCGTTGCGCGGCCCTTGTCAGGGCGAGATATCACGATTTCAGGGTTCCTTGAGAACTTTTATGTTCCCGCGTCAGTGAAAAGGATCGTGTGTCTGGCGGAGACTAGGCTAACCGGAACGAAAAAAACCGGAAAAGCCCTGCAACTGCCGAGACAAGCCATCCTGTCCACTTTAAAGCGGCGAATGCCAAACCACGGAGCTGATATATGTGGCATCCATAACGTCAGGCCCCACCAAAAAGGAATACACCGGTATGTCGGCGCCACCGTTCAAATCACGCCATGCAAACCGCATGGCAACAACCAGATACTAAAAGTGCTCCAGCAGCACTGAATTCCCCAACTGCATTATGGAACCTGAAGAAATGTAACGCCCAGTACGAAGGTCAATGGAGGATAAAAGATCGCGCCCGAGCATACTCCAACATCAGAAAGCGGTGTTCCCTCTGCGCCAGAGAAAAGTATACCACATCCTGAAGCCGCTAGGGTCACCATCCAGCCTCAATAAGCGTTCGGAAATGGTGTCCAAGTGCCGACACGAGAACAAGTATCTCCTCAAATACGACCGTGTCACCTAAATATGTCTCCACAGCCTCCTGCCTACACCAGTCACACACACTGCTCATAACACTATGTCATGTACACTGCGCTAATATCACACTGCTAGCTCTGACATTATCTCTACAGCCTCCTGCCTACACCATCCACACACCTTACTCTCTACCTCCTGCCCACATCAGCCACACATCCTGCGCTAGCATTGCACTGCTAGCACCTGCCTTCAACAACCACACACTCTGCACACAGCCTCCTGCCTAATAATAGCACCACTAGCGCTGAAACCTATAGAGCCCCACATTCTCACACAGCGTTTCACACAGCCCTACAAGACTCACCCTCTCCTGGCATAATATACCGGCATGGTCGGCACCCGATCCTCATGTTGCCTGATGATTGCGAGAGCATGAAACTTGAAGTACACTTGTAGCAGCAAACAGCCCCTGCTCAGTAGCTGGTTGTTTTTGTCCACATAATTATTTATTTTACGAGTTGGACCTTTCCGAACCTGAGCCTTCCAAGTTGGAAGGTTGTTGGTTTGCGCCTTGGAGCTAGGTGTCAGGTCGCCGAATGTCTCAGTACTCCTTGTCAGTTTTGTGCCATTTTGTGGCACTTGCTGGCTGTATAAGATCTGGTTACGTTGGTGGACAGTTTGTCATAACTCGTAACATTTTGTCCTTTTCCTTTCTTTAGGGCGCGTTCAGACTGGCGTAAAAAACAAGCGGAATGTGAAAGTTGTCAAGGTGAATCGCTCACGTGACGTTCCCGCCAGCGTAAACACAGAAAAGGTTTCCCACCAATCTGCAGGCCAGTGGAATGCAGATTCCGGCGGCACGCGGAGCGCTTTTGATATCCTTGCAGCACATGTTCCGTCTTTTCGTTTTTTTTATTTTATTTTTTTATTTATTTTTTATACGAAAGTCCACTATATTCCCGAATATGTGCGAGAAGTGGTGGCGGAGCCAGGCTGCTCTGCCGACCTCAAGGTCTCGGCGTCTACGCAGACAAAACGCGCCATAATGCAGTAAAACCATGTAGAGAGGAGGAAGAGGGGAAATGAATAATAGTGAGAAACAAGGACAATGGGTAGATGGTCGTGAGAGAAGCAGAGTGAAAGATAACGTCACACTGTGGTAAGGGGGGGGGGGGGGGGGAGGATGCTAGTGAGGCACTGGTCTAAACCGTTTCATAGGGCGTCGGTGGCTGCTTGCCAGTTCAGGTGCAGCAGATACTTGTTGCATTTTTCTTTGAATGATTGGAGCTGGCTGGGTTGCGGCCGTGCTGGTAGAATGGTCGCTGGTAGGCTGTTCCACAAGGGAATAATGCAGTCTGGGTAGGAACCCTGGAGGCTGCTACGAATGCGCACGGGCAGCGTCGACTTGAGCTGGAGCGGGTGGCAGTGGGCAGTCTCCGTGGCTAACCTAGTGGATCGACCACCCACTGGGCGGGGATTGGCTGGAGGTGGGAGGATGGGCTTCAGGGGGCTTGTTGTTGGAAGGTAAGACAGCTTGAACGTGAACGAAAGCGCAGCAACCAGTCGGCGGTGTTTCAGGCTGGGGAGCCAGGCGCCTGGGCCAATCACCTTCAGTGCCTTGTGCTGGATTTTGTCCAGTCTGGATGTACCTGACCCCATCCACACCAGGCAGCAGTATTCCATTGTTGGCCGCACGAAGCCTTTGTAGACTGCCGTGCGGCCGCTGGAGTCCAACATGGGCGCAACCTTTCTCAGGAAGTGTAGGCGTTGGGCAGCCTTTGAGGCCACGGCCCGGAGGTGTGCTGCGTAGGACAGTTGCGAGTCGAATGCTGTGCCCAGAAGTTTAATTTCCTTCTCTTCAGGAACAGTCACTCCATTGAAGAGCACTGGTGGGAACGCTGGGGGAGGCTTGCGGTGGTCGATGATGAGGGCCTGAGATTTGGATGGCTCGAAGGTGACCTTCCACTTGGAACCCCAGTGGGAGACGGCGTCCACTGCTTCCTGGAGTTGTGCTGCAGAGTCGGATATGCTGGCGGTGGCAGAGATGCACTGATACAGTGTTGTGTCATCTGCATACGTGGCAAGCTCAGCACCAGCAGGCAAGGTGTCCTCGCAGTCATTTACGTACAGGAGGAATAACGTTGGTCCAAGGATGCTACCTTGTGGTACCCCTGCTTGGATATGGTGCAGGGAGGACTCTTGGCCGCCCACAACAGCCTGCAGGCGCCGGTTGTGCAGGTAGCTT